TTTTAGACAGTGGTAAGTACTAGGAAGAAGACTGAATCAGAGCAGTGAGAGAGAGTGATTGGAGGGGCCGCTTTAGTTTGGGTTGTCAGAAGAGGCTTCCTTGAAGCAAGAACATGAAAGCTGGGGCCTGTTCATATAACAGGGCCAGCCATGCAGGGATCTGGAGGGAAATACATTCTAGGCACAAGGAAGAGCAAAGCCAAAGACCCTCAGGTAGCAATGGGCTCTGTGCATTCAACATACAGAAAGATGTCCAGTATGGCTTCAGAGAAATGAATAAGATGATGAAAGAAAGGAGAGAAAAGTGGAAAACTAGGCAGGGGCCAGATCACTACATTTACAAGCTAGCTGCTGTGTGAAGAATGGATTGCAGGGGGAAAGCAGGGCAATAAGGAGACCAGTGAGGAGGCTGTTAGGTGAGAAAATGGGTGGCCATAAAATTTGTCATCCAAACCAGGATACTTGTGCAAGTGCATGGGGATGCTACACACAATTAATCAGGGACAATAGGCATAAAACCAGGACTTGCCACTGACTAAGTTCTAGCTGCAGTTGACACACCCCAACTGGGATTGTCGCAGGAAGTTCAGCAGTTTTTAGCAGTTCTGCTCTGACACAGAACTCCCAACTCCAGGAGAAGGAATCACTTTTCTATTGGGTCCCAGGTTCCTGGCCTGGTGCCCCATGCCTGAGCATTTGGTTTTTGTGTCTGTGCCAAGGGCTATAGTTACAGCACATACAGGGAGCAGCAAGTCCTCTTCTCTGTGCTGTCTGGCGTAGGGGCTGCCCACTCTCAGCGACAACCAACAGCACACAGATAGAAGAACAAACAGGGAGTATGTGGTCACCCCTTCTCCAAGTCATGTTGAGAGGGTGGAAGCCACAGAGGCATGAACAATCTGTGTTCCAGAGCAGGGATTCTTAACTTTGACCTCAGGGGGTTTGTGAAGCAAGTGAGAGGGCCTCAAGCTTTCATCAGAGTCTCAAATCTGACTCCAAAAGAGATAACCTTTCTTTTAGAGAGCAGTGGTTCTCACACTTCAGTGTGCATCAGAGTCACCGGGAGGGCTTGTTACAATGAAGAACACTGGGCTCTTAACAGGCTCTGATTCAGTTCACTCTGGAGTGAGGCCCAAGTATTTACATTTCTAATAATTTCCAAAGGGATGCTAATATTCTTGGTCCAGGGGCCACATTTGAGAATCACTGCATTAAAGGATACAAAAAACACAAGGGGTTTTAGTTTAAATGATAATATTCCCTTTTCGGACATGAATTCTAACAAATGCCACAACCCTTTAAACCACCCCTAAATCCCAAGGAATTTCATATTTTATTTTTGGAATAAGCCCCTGGAGAGTGACAGACTCTGGACCTCCCCTTAGAGGTCAGGAAGCATCTGGGAAATAGCATTTTAGAGGACGCAGGGAACTGCCTTCAGAAACGTAAAAGCCCAAGCAAAACTCTAAGCTGGACACTACAGGGCTGGTCCCAGCAGATCTGGGCAGACCCAGATGTTCTACAGACTGCCTCCTGATCCTTTTTGAGCCTCTAACTAAATGGGCCAAGATAGGAGGTCTGCTGTAAGGAAGGCACGGTGTCTGCTAGGGGATATAATCTGGGAAAAAGAAACCAACCAACTACTCCAATAGACAGAATTCAAGAACTCCATTCACAGAGCCCTTTGATCACACTGTGGTGAGGGCAGGAAGAGGCAGGAACAGTACTCAGGGCAGTACTTACTTTAAGCAAAAGCAGTGGAAAGAGGCCTGGAAGGGCCATTTGCCAGCATTCTTCAGACCTGCTCTACGTCACTCCCTCATGAAAGTGGAGGGGCAAAATGAAAATGTGAATTCATTCATGACTCAAACTTCAAAACAGAAATTGTGGCTTTTGAGCTACACAGAGAAGTCCTCATTTGCTACAGAGAACATTGGCTTTGCCATCCAGCTAAGTACGCCCTGAGGTGAGCCAATACCCAAGTCAGGGAGACCCTACAAGTTAGGGGAAGAGGAGGCAGAACCTTACTGGGAAGGCGATACACTGGAGTGATGGAGACCAATGACGTGCTTTGGTATCAGCCTGCCAGAACTGATGACTTGAATTCTGTGTGACCCCTGTAGGTATTACTTAATTTCGCTGCCCCTTAGTTTCCTTTTCTGTAAGATGGGGGTAATTAATAGTGCCTATCTCCTAGGGTTGTGGTAAGAATTAAAATAAATAACCTAGAAAAACATTTAGCTTGGTGCCCTGCATATTTCAAGCACCCAAAATAAGTTAAAAAAAGGGTGGGGGCTTGGAAAAATTTAGGATGGTGGCAATACAGACTCACCTGGGTGTCATAGCCAGAGCCAAGAAAAGAAAGCAGAGCTAGGTTGGAGCTACTGCCAATCTCCCCAGGAAGCTGACAGAAATTTCTGCTCCCTAGGGAATGTCTGAGGTATGAGCAGGGCATGAAGGGCTAGCCAGGATTCTAAGGATGGTGGGGTTAACTGGACAACCCTGTTGGCTATACAGTGGGGATATCCTGCTCTTCTAAACATTGCAACATTCAGTGAGTGTTTTTGTGACATTTTTCTCACTGCCAACCTAAGTGCCAAATGACCTGATTTGAACAACTCAAGATGAATGAAAATCAACACTGGTAGGAAAACTGGAATGACATTATTGGAAATGCTCCAGAGATTTGCAATATTAAGGTGGAATCCTCATTTCCAGGGGGGAAAATGGCTCCTCCTTCTCAGGTTCTAAAAGAGTGTGGGCGATAATGCTGAGGTGAAAGCAGTTGTGATGTGTGCTGGCCTTGAGGTTAGCAAGCAGTCAAAGTCTGAAAAAGAGATCTCTCTTTACTGGGATCCTGAATGAACAGAGCCGTGTCCAAAACCCAGTTCCCCAAATCAAAAAGTCTTGTCTGCTTAGAAAGTTGTTACTGGAAGTGGGAACAAGGACATTTCTAAAAACCATGCAAAAGAGCTAAAATAAATGACATACCACATACTTAAATAAAAGTTAACATCAGCAGGAGGTGAGGGTAGGAAGATACTGACAATTATATCATTTTAGAAAGGAAAAGAGCTAAATAAAAATGACAAATAGTTCTGTTGAACATGCTGGGCTCCTTGCTTAAGGAGTCCCTGTGGCTCTACAAGCTTACCCTATTTCAAGTCTGGTATATTTCCCTGCAGCCCTGTATTTGGAGTCTTTAAAAGATTAAGGCGACAGGACACTTATGAAGGGGCCTGTCTTCTGGCTTTTCACCTCCTATATGTAACTGCAAATAATGGCTAGAATTTCCCCCAAAAGCTCCTGTACTTGAGAGTCCTCTTCAACGGAGACCCAGGGCAGAAAGGGGAATCTAGTCTCCTAGATTCAAGTACCAACCTGTCCTGAGTGCTCCCCAAAATCAGAGACACTGAAAAACAGGGAAAACGAGTTCCTTAGCACCCTACCTACCTCCCCCAAACAGTGGCACACTTTAAGTTTTCATATAGCAACATTTCTACATTATTTTTTATTGGAGTTGGTGGTTGTCAGATGTGGAAGCTAATCCAATAGATAGTCTGCTATTCTCTACAAAGAAGGGACTTTTTAAAAAAAGTTTATTGATGAGAGAGAGATCAATTTGTTGCTCCACTTATTTATACATTCATTCGTTGCTGCTTGCATGTGCCCTGACCAGAAATTGAACCTGCAGTCTTGTAGTATTGGGAGATGCTCGAACCAACTGAGCTACTAGCCAGGGCAAGAGGGGATATTTTAACAGGAAAAAACCCCCAAAAGAATAACAACAGTTTCTTGGGATTCACCTGGGGAAGCCTGGAACTGTGATACTGTGAGATACTTCAATGGTCATGTGTCAGTTTTTAGAATATAATCACTGTCATATACATTTAAAATAACACTGAAAAATTTTTCTATAGTGTAATTTTTGCAAGAACCCTACTCCTGCAATTACTAGTTTGAAGCCTTCCCATATCCAGCCTGAAGGTAAATTAAAGCACCAGAAAAGTTAAAATGAGAAGAATGCCATATATAAAACTTTCACCCCCATTCCTAAAGATCAAGGAAATATCACACACCTGAAGCCTCCACTGATTTTTGAGTTAAGAGGCCAAAACTGGGATGGTTCTTCCTGGTCATATGATCTAATCTTCTATGAAAAGGTCCCATTAAAATTATTCTGAAGGACCATTCTGGTGCCACATTTTCATCAGTAACTTTATTCACTGTCTACCACTCCACTCACTAGAAAAGCAGTTTTAAAAGATCTTATTTTCAAGCACAACTTCTGTTTTCTGCAGAAGATACTCTTCATCTTCTGTCACATTCACTTAAAAATAATTTTAAAAGATTTTATTTATTTATTTTTAGAGAGAGGAGAAGGAAGGGAGAAAGAGAGGGAGAGAAATATCAATGTGTGAGAGAAACATAGATCAGTTGCCTCTCGCACACCCGCAACTGGGGACCTGGCTGACAACCCAGGCACGTGCCCTGACTGGAATCAAACCTGCAACCTTTCAGTCTGCAGAACGATGCCCAACCCACTGAGCTACACCAGTCAGGGCATCATATACTCTTTTGTAACCCTTCCACTACGCCAAACCAACTTCAAATTTAAAACAACGGAAAACAAAACCTTCCATTGGAAAAGAGGCATAATCTATGGGGAGAGTTTTTCTTTTTCTTCAAGTTGTGATAGCTAGATTAAATCATGCCATCAGAGAATTTTCAAAACTGACTCAAGAAGCAAAATGAGGAAACAATTTACATAAAATCTTTAAAAAATAAACAAATTTGTTTGAAAAAATTTTTCCAGTGTGTGAAAGCGCACTTAATGCTTGCAGCCAATTAATTATCAGGTAAGCATACCTGCCACTGAGTGCTAAAAATGGTTTCCATCTATCAAATATTTAAAAAACAAAACAAAACCAAGAGCAACCAGACCCGTGCCCCCCTACCCCACAAAGGCACTGAAACAAAAGACTGATCTGTTTATATAGTCACATGAAAAATAAACATCTTTATTTTTTGCCTACTTTATTTCATTTTTTCAAATAAAATTTAAATCTGTACAAAGTATACTGTTACAGTATATATTTTGTAAGAATCAATGCCTAAAAGAATCACAATACTTCAATAAGCAGTACAGCAGACCTTGCTAGTTTCAGCTTTGATATTGAACAAACTCAAGCCAGCTGATGCACAACACATTTGCTTGGTTTCCACATGGTGAGTTCCCAGCACTGAGATGGGAGAACATGACAGCAAGTATGGTTTATATTACAGCCTGACACACTGCGCTTCTTCATGTGATAATAACTGCACATATTTAATACAGAATGCTCAAATTTACTTTTTAAATTGCATTTGCTTGCTTCTTAGTTGGCAAAATTAAGCATTCTTAATGGGGTCCCCAAACAGTGCAAATTAATGATATTCTACTGTATAATTGGCACATCTCCAATAAGGATTAACTTGTAAACTCAAAGAATACCACAACTTTGTCCTAAATTTTAACTAATGTACATCTGGTCCATTTAACCAAAGTCATTTTGGAAAGATATTAAAGAATAATTCTATTTCTGAAAGGATATTGTTTTGACCATTCTTCAAAGAAGATAAATTTTTAAATTGTCATTAAAATGTTTTACTATAAAAATTTTACAAACTTGATTAGAAATTTCAAGATGATTCACAGCAGACAAATACAAACTGTTTATATTCCAACAATACCTACTTTTAGACTTTCAAATAGAGCACAACCATGTCAGCTGTGTTAACTAAAATTCTGAACAATGTACTAAATTTGTCAGTGGTGCTGGGTCTAGCAAGTGTAAATACACAGTATATTTTAATGAAAAGAATTGTCTTCTTTATACTTTATTTGTTTTCCCATAAGGAAACATTAATGTTTACATTCTTTAATAAAGTTAATCTTACATCAGAATATAACTTAATACTGTCAGCAACAGGAACCACACACAGTAAATAAGAAGCACATTTAAAATAACTCTAAATTCACATAGATTAACATTTGTTGGTTAATAAAATATCGACAGTATTACAATCTTACAATATTTACAGTAAGAAAAATCTAGAGTAATATATACCTTTCACAGCAGGATTCCTCTTTTTTTTTTTTTTAATTTCTTCCAGTTTGGGATTGTGTATACACAAAAAGCTCAAATAAAGCAACTCTGCAATATAATCTTAAAATAATGGCTACTGGGGGAATTTCTATCACAACCATTGAAAATAATGGTGACTTTTCATGGAGTCTGTGGCATCTGAGAACCCAGTTAATTAACCAAAGTCTTGCTCAAACCAGCCTCGGTTACCCAGATTTAAAGCTGCAGAACTCCGGCCTTCCCTGACTACTGAAAACCCAATAGATTTTCTCAAAATGCTCTAAGAAAAGAGGGAAAATAGGTTTCAGCTCACACCTTATGGCTAGCACATTCCCCAACTTATGCTAAAAGAGGGCCAATTTCATCCCCAAAGCATTCCAAGAGTTTACCCTCCAACTACAGGGTACTTTGAGACCAAACTTACTCATTCCTTAACTCTTATGCAATTAGGATAAGACATGAACTTGGCCTATATAATACACACCAGCATCTTAGAGACTTGGGACTGGGGCAAAAAAACAGACTAGGTTGGCTTGTATTGAGATCAACAGGGAAAATGGAAAGCGATGCACATTTCCAATTAGAATGGCAAGAAGACCCACATCCCTAAACTGGAATTTTGCCAGGGCATCAGAGTTAGCACCCCCTCTCTGAGTACCACAAGCAATTAGGATGTGTGCTCTGGGCCTCCTCCAAGAGAGAGCAACTACAGTAAGTAACACCATGTGGGACATTAGTTCAGTGATGACTCCCGAAAAAAGCAGATACAATTCTTGAAGCTGGGGCTGTCCACAGCACCTGAAGGCACTCATCTGAACTGTGACTGGTCCCAACTCTGCCTACTTTAAGAGATCTGATGGGCACAGAGCACTCAGGGATACAGCTGCTGGCTACTTTGGACTCTAGATCTCACAGGTAATCAATAGGTATCAGAGATTGAATTAGCAAACTGTACCATAGCTCCTTAAACAGACACTGTCAGGTATGAAATCAGGTGAAGCATGAATCTTCACTGTCAGGTCAAAAATCAAAGTGGGAGTCTTCCCACATCAGCCAAGATAATTTTGTCAAAACCTCAGAGGAGTCGGACAGTTTTTCATGTTGCAAGTGATTGATTAGTTTACTTATTTTAGTCAAGCTGGATTGGCAAACCAGACTGATCTATTTAGTTAGCTTTGTTTTGATTCTTAATGTATGTGTAAACCCAAAACTGTTATATTTGGGCTAAATACACTGACAGAGAAAATTCAAACAAAAGTTTTCAACAAACTTCTGTGGCATTTTCTTTTTGGAAGTCAATGCAAGATCTAAAGGTATTTCTACCCAACAAAGTCTGTTTAAGTGTTTCATGTTATTTCATTTTTGGTCCTATACAGAATGCTATGACTTCTATATAGGTCTGAATGCTGCTCCATGTAGATTTCCTTCTGTATATCTAAAAATACATACTTTTCAGTAGTTCAATACATGATTAATCTTCCCACAGAGGAAGATTTTCGTAATCACATGTTGCAAAGTAGAAAAACATCTCCTTTCTAAGAAAGGAAATATACTTTCCTATTGTACACTTTTGAATAAGCCCAAAGGCATGCACCAAAAATCATTATTAAAATACATGCACTAAAATGGTGTAGAGTTACACTTAAAGTGCTGCTTCTCAATTTTTAAATTTGGAGAAGACATTTTGTCAGTTGTTGACTCAAAGATCTCCCCCCACTCCACCCACCCCACTCCATGGCATCGAGAGAGAAAAGTAAGAAGTATGCATAAATCTTTAAATTACTCTTTACATGGGGGAAAGGACAGATATAACAGCTATCCTAATTATAAACTGGATTCCCAGTTTTAAATGAAACCAATATTTACTGGTAAAAATTGTCAAAGCTAATACATCCAAAGAAATGTTACTAGTAAATAATGTTCTACATAGAGAATAATTTACTTTGGTTTTACGCACTTCCTCAAAAATAATACTGGTGTCCCATATATCACCAAACTGATGTGTTCTAGCAAAGTTATAAGGCAAATCTTTTTTTTCCCTAGTGACATTTTGTTTTCCAATAGACAAAACTAAAATCTTTTGGTGAGGAAGGGGTTAAGATAATGGCTAACCCCTTGGCATCCTGAGCATTGTGGTTTATCAAACTCTACCCTGCTAGAAGCTGTCAGGCACCCTGACCCCTGCCTTGAACCAGGAATGGCTCCCATGTCTAGAGATGCCCTGACTCCTTATGAATAGCTCTCAGAACTTTGCTTCTTTTTACCTTCTGTCTGGATGTTAAAATGTCTAATAAAGCTGGTTGCAATGTCACATTTTGCTAGTAGGGGCCACCATCTAACAATAATTCCAATCTGAAATGTTTTAGGCCAATAGCTAGTTCCTAATTTTATCAATTAATTGCATACAAATTTTCTCTAGAGTTTACTTAGAGCAGAGATCCTTTAACTTGCTATTTCAGAAGATGTGTGATGCCCCTGAGGTTGTTTGCAAAATTACCCATGTGCATTTTTCTGGGGAGAGGGTCCATCACTTTCATCAGATTATCAAAGGTATTTATGACCCCAGAAAGGGGTTACAGGTACTTAGAGGGATACTTAGAGGGATACCCGTAATTCATTTTATACCAGGATTGGGAAATGGGGGCAGAAAACAATGGCCTCAAAAAAGGGGGAAGCCAAATTGCTAATATTTTCCCCTTATTCATATTTGGAAAATAGTGCTTCAAATTAGGAAAAATAATTAAGCTGATTAAACTCTATTAAAAAATAAAGCCACTTGCTAAAACTTTTCTCATTTTCCATATATGGTAAATTTAGTCTCCAAGAAAAGGTTTGGAGACTGGACTTTTCTCTTTCTCCAAAGGAAATTCATACATATAATGTTGATCATCATCCACATTTAAAGTTCTGACAACATAAAACTTAAGACAACTCTAATGATGCAAGCCTTTCCTTTATGATTTTGAGTAAAGGTATCTGGAATCAGATACAGATCTGTCAACTCATTTCCCAAAATTGGTCCATATTTAGACAACTACTGGGCACAATTCTACTAGGTAAGCCTAAAATCTGAACAATGAAAATTTAACTTTCTACCCAAATTAAAAACAAAGCCAAAAGGTTCCAGCCACAAACATCCACACTATGTCAGAGGACTTTCTCATTTCAAATACATCACTGAATTTTCAACGCAATTTACAAACATAAGATCCAGAACAACTAGCAAAACATGCTGAGAAGAGCATGTCAAGAATTAAAACACTGCCCCCTGCCCACCCCTCCCAATCCAGAAACACACTCAGGCATTCCAAAAATAAACCAGATCTAGAGAGGCCTCTCACTTGCTGGGTTTAAGTATGAAGTGCCTAAAAGGCTATGGGAAAGGGAATATAAAATGAAATAATTAAATAACTTACAAAAATAATTTTAGCCAAAACATTTCTGTTCTATTGACAAAACCATCAACCTTTTTTATTTTTTTGCAATTCTGAACCTGTGTTGCACAATCTCACTAAGACAAAAAATATGTTCACACGTACACTTTTTGTTCACTTATTCTTTCTAGAGCACATCTTGAGGTTATAAGAATGTCTCTAGTTAAAATAAAGTCTCTTATCCCTTGCCACACCCCCTCAAAAAATGAGTCAACCTTGAATTCCAAAAAGGAATATTCATTTAATATAATTCTTTCTATACCAGTAATATCACATAGATCATGAGAAAACTCTATGAGCATTATGGAAAACTACATGAAAGAGGGAGTGCCACTTGCCACCCACTTCACTTCCAGATTTTTAAGCCACAGCCAGCTAGACTCAAATCTCATTGACTTGAGTGAAAACAAATCACTCCAAAACCAGTCCATCTCAGGCTGGAAGTTGGATCTCAAAGAATATATATATTCATTCATATATATATATATATACACATACACACACACACACCCCCACATATATATCTCAAAGAATATATATATTCATTCATATATATATATCCTAAGCTTTCACTTTGTCTATTCAAATAGCTTAATAAAGCTCACATTTACAAAGGATTTTATTGGCAAATAAAGGCCCATATTAAAAATTTCATCAAAACAATTTTTCTACATAGCTAACACTAAAAAATATTTTCTTGGATTTATAAAGCATATTTAATTGCATATAAGCTTGCTTTGGGTGGGATATTGAAAACATAACTCTAAGAAATCAGAAAGACTAGAAACAAAAGTGAAAGTGACTAGTCTTAACTTCCAAAAAATCAAGTGCAAAGGTAAATAGTGCAAATAATGAAAACTACAAAATTTATAGGCAATTTTAGAGTTTTTCCTGCTTTTGCACTTTTACATATTGACAATTTTATAAACCCTAACAACTATGCAGCATGGAAATGGGCTATCATTTATCTCCATTGGCTAGACTCACGGAAGCCTTACAGAGACATTTAAATCACTGGTTCTTGACATGGATTTGGGAATTCACTTCTTCTCAAACAATTACTAAGGGTGGGGGCTACTTAAGAAGGCTCTGGACTGGCTTGTAACTGTATTATAATTTCAAATCTGATACATAATGAATTGGGAAAATTATACTGTCAACTCCACAAAATGTTATAAAAACAATTCTGATGTTAATAAACTTGACAAAAATTACCTTCCAAATACAAAATCAAAACCCCTCATTTAGCTATCTTTAAAGAAATTTTATCACTAATGTACACAGATTTGGGTAAAATTAAACTTGAAAGTAATCTGTCAAAAATCACTAAGTCCATACTAAGCTAGAAAACATGAGTTAATCTAAATATACTTGAATTATGTCACTTTAAAACATATTATAGAAATTATTTATCTTAAATAACTTAAAATGCTTTGGGAATATTGGGAACAGAAATCTAAACACAATCAATTCCCTCTACAAAGGGCATAAGAACTTCCGAGATGTACTAAATTATATTACCAATATCTTCCACCACTGAACTCTTGGAAATTCTACAATTTTAAAGTAATAGAGGTGAGAGTACAAACTTGAGTTTGGGAGGGAGTTATCTAATTTCATAAATGTAGTATTCTGAGGGTCTCATAAAGTTCACAATTTAAATGGCTCTTAGGATTGCAAATGTAGAAGAAATAGGAAAGATACCTAATATTGCAATTTAGTATTTTTTTCTGGTTTATTGTCCTCTTCTAAGAAATTCATGTGAACCAAAGGCTCAAGATTCTGTAAAAGCAAGGCATAATAAATACACTGTAGATCTCTGCGGAATCAAATGATTTTGATCTAAGGACCATTTTGAAAAGTAAAGATAAGAACAGATACTACATATGATATATATTCCTGATAGTTTAAAAATTATACCTGCAAAGAAGTTTGAAATTTTATCTTCTCTAAAAGTAGTAAGTCCCCAGTACCAATTTGCCATGACCAGAAAAGTTGCCATTCCACAATTACTCTACTAAATTTGTCCAGAAAAGGAAAAATCCTATATGTGAAAACACGTTTGTATAATGCATCATCATCATAACATCTAGTTACAGGCCAACAGCTTTCTCACAATTTTCTCTGGCTTTATTGAAACTTCTTTAACAAAGATCAACTTCACTGCCCTTAGCCAACAACTCTTATTTTAGACTCTACCTTAGTATCTTTTCCTATCTCCAATAAAAATTTCTCCCACTTTTCCTCCAAACCTTTCCCTTATATACCTCTCACACTCCCATACTCAAACATATCAAACAGTTCTCCCTTTTCTGCTCTCAGATTTCCAAACCAGTAAGTCTCAGCCCCCAGTAACTTACCTAAAATACACATACTTTTACTCTCTTTAATTTACAAATTTCTTAACGAACAATATTGCTATCTTTCAAACAACCAGCTTCAGACTATGGGGCCAACACCAGTCATAAAAACTGCCTGATTACCTCATAATACAAAAATGTTTCTGGGGTCAGTTAGCTGTTAAGGTAGGAGTCAGCAATTTCTTTACTTCCTTCTCAAGGGATTACGCTTTAGTGCCACTGGCAGGCCTATGACAAGAATAATAAAGGAGAGACAAACAGGAAGATGGGTGAAAGAAAAAGCCAGATGTATTTGTCAGGGAGGTAGGTCACATGCCACCAACAATTACCTGCACAGGAAACTGTCAACCCACTCCAGGTCAATGGGAGTTTGACCCAATCCCAACATGTGTCTAATAATTCATTAGCTGATGGCCATTACTGTTGGACTAAATCAAAGTGAATACATAAGTCACCTGTCCCATTAGTTTGACTGCCAGTTTACAATAAGGACATCTTAAGTCCTCTTAGGATCCTTCTGCATTAATCCAGTTTAGACCAAAACACATGCTAACAAGAGTATTTCCATGTTTTTCAAAATTCTAGAACATAAAGATTTGGTCCTTGAACTTGGAGGCCTCTTGAATTATTAAAGTGCACCCTAAATCAAGAAAATTAAACTCTTTAGTTTAAAATTTTCCCATGAAATGCTATAAAAATTTAATAAGCAAATTACTAATAATCATTGAAACAAAGTATGTATTTATGAAAGTGTAAAAATCTTGCAATTCTAAAATGAATAAAATACTTTTGATCAGTAATTTTATTTTACATAGAGTATCACCACCATGTTTCCACCTGTCAAACAAGACAATTTTCCACAAAAGCAAAGCACATTGGTAAAAAAAAAAAGAAAAAAAAAAGAAAAAAAAAGAAAATACCAAACATACTATGGGGACAAAATAAAAATAAATGGGTAGCCATGAAATTCTTTTTAAGAAAAATGTTTTTAACACGTGACTTTTGCCACAAACTTTACTAAAGATGTAAATTGCCTAGACTATTCAACATCAAACCTTGATAATCAGTTTAGCAGCTGAAAGGTGACAAACTGTTGGCTTGAAACCAATCAGCTTTCGCTTTTCATCTGGTTGTTCTTGCATCAAGAAATTCTACTTGACTCATGCTAATTAATGCCAGTTTAAATGATCTTCACTTAGCCCAAAATAATTTATGTTCAAAAAGAGCCTGTCAAATGACTTAGGCCTTGAATTTAGGTTTTGTTTTAGGATCAATAATTTTTCAAATATTAAAGTCAGATGTTCTTAAAAATATATTATAAATTCTCTATAGTAATTAATGCTGTCAGGTGAAAACAATAATTATAATAGCAGTGGTCACTTTAGTTTTATAGGGTACTTCATTATGAACAGCCTATATTCTAACTTGCAATGAAAACAAAACAGAAATATTACAATGTCTGATTTAAAAATAGGTAAACTTTAACAACTTTGCACAAATAATTTCTGTATATTTATTCACTTAAGCAACTCCAATAAATTTTTTCTATTCATTTCACCCTCCTGTGGAAGTATATATATCTCCAAATTATTAAGATATTCAAATTTAGGGATAATCAACAATAAATGTTATACTCAGAGTTATCACCAATTGTTTCAAACCTAGGTTTTTAGCTAAGATTCTGTTGTTTTAGCATCCTTTTACTTAGAAAGCAGGATCTCATTCTGGTATTGAAAAGACTCTGAAAAGGTAAAAGTCATTAGATTTGGTATCTTATGTTTTTTGGGGAAAAATTTCTAAAAATATGTTCACATGTATAATAAAATGAACTGTGGAGCTATGAAAGCCACCAGAGCAACAATTTCAGAAATCCCCGTTCTAAAATCATCCGGAATGTGTGTGTAAGTAATATATAAAAAATTAGTGGGAATATGAAGAACAGAAGGTGAACCATCGAGGGAGATAAAAATAATCATGCCCAAGGTAGGGTCCACCATGGTTGGCAGATAACCCAAAATGTCATAAAAGTGTGTTTAGAAAAGTTTCAACAGTGCCAAATGAAAATGTTAAAGCACAGACACAGTGAATGAGACAACCCCCACAAACATCAATTTCCATAAAAAAGCAGGAACAAAAACATTTGATGTAAGCATTTTTCTTAATATACCAAACCTTAACTGTCTTAAAAATTACGTGAAGTGCTTGGGCCATAGTACCCACCCAGATTCTCATTATCAACAGACTTATCTTTTCCCCTCCCTTCCACCCAAATTTAGTTCAGTTTTCCTGCAGAAAAGTACAGCATTCCTATAGTAATAAGAAATGAAAACAGTGAGTACAACTGATATAGATCCATTGACTTTTATTACAAATGTACTTGATCACTTGGCTTCAAAAAGTTTAAAATCAATACCCTATTTTCTGTATGCCAGTACAAAGCAAACTGTTTTACAAATTAAATACCTAAAAATTTGACAAAAATATTAAAATTTGATGAAAAACAATTATAAAAATCCTTAATCTCTCTTCAAAAAAGGAGGCAGTCTTCCCAGTCCTATTATACAATATTAATAATATTCACCATTTTTAGAATAGGTAGCTAAATTATATTTTTCTGTTAGCATACAAAACTCTTAGACTAATAGATTTTATTTGTATATGCTCCAGTTAAGTTTGTGAATGCCATCTGATTGCAATATAATCAACTATCTTTGAGTCCTAATTTACACTTGTTTAATAATTTGCATAGTTTAAAAGGGATAAAAGTTATTCTACAACTAATTTTCATAGGCTATTACAGTGCTATTTTTCAAGGCAATAAGTATTTGCTCCCAAATGAAATTATCTGTCTTCTTTAGGCAGGGGTTAAAATTACTAGCAGCTTTCTCCGTTACCTGAAAAATCAAATTGGAATAGTTATCCATCTCTAGATATGACGACCTGAAAAACACACTGATATATTTTCCACTTTGAGTCAAATTTCAACCCCTGCATGGGACAGCTAGAAAGTGAGACTTTCAAGGTTTTTTATTTTCCCTGTTGGTTTTGGTTTCTACTCTCCATGGCTTTTGAGAAGCTGGAAAAGTCTGTCTTTCCTGACTTGTATTATTGTTTTTTCCATTTGGCAAATATTCATCTACCTCCAATCTTTATCTAGTGGAGGAAAAGCCGACATGGCCTTTCTTATAAACTTCCTTTGTTGTCAAAGGCATGTATAATGATTTCTACAGTTCTGGTTAGTTAACTTTAGCTCCCTCTGTGGCTGGATGACTGCTGCTTCTAACATCAGCATGATAAATAGGAGGCACAAATAAAAAGTAGCTTAAAAAAAGATTTGGTGATTTAAAAGAAAAACAAACAACACCAAACACACACACATATATATGAGCATTTTAAATCTGGTGGCTGATCTCTAGATTAAATTACTTGACAGTGTCTCTCATTTTAAAGAATGTCAATATTGCAATGCATTTCAAGTTTTCCTTTATACTTAGGCAAATAATAGTTTAACCAAGCTCTTGGACCTTAATTGTAAGACAAAGCAGATCATTAAAAATAAGGCATACTTGTCAGGAATTAAGTTTTGTTTGCTTGTTTTTGGCACATTTGATCATACTGTCTTCTATGAATAACACATATGGTCAAATATACCACTCATTTCCTTTTTTTGTTTCAGCACAGAGTTTACCAACTAGTAAAATAAAAACAAGGAAAAACTCCAACATAAAACACTGAAATATAGACCTTGGTAAAGTACCGAGCACCTGGGGGAAGGGTGGGGAAAGGATGAAACAGGAGAGGGGAGAAGGGAAAAGGTTTGGGAGGGTGCTTGGGGAGGTAAAGTGAGATGCATAAAAGAGCATCTTTACAGTCACTTTAGTCTTTTCTACGATCATCTCTTAAGTCTTAAAAGATCTGCATGTGGATTTGGTTTAAAACCCACTGACCATAAATCAGACAATGGTTTCAAAATCTTAGTAAGATTGTGTTTAACTGTTATAGTGTAAAGACAATTGCACAATACGTGTGCTTCTTGATCCGGTAGGATTCCAAGCAGAATCTGAAGTCTATAGGTAAGAAAGGCTTCACTTTAGGTAACTCTGACCCTAAAGAAAACCTCATGAAAGAACTCGCATCTCAAAGAAAGGACACTTTGCCTAAGTTTGCTGTGTTTTTGTTGACCTGCACTACTTATTGCTGGCTACTATGAAACACTGATCTAGGAGTACTCCAACAACCTGTAGTACAAGGCATAACTTTAAGAAGCTATAGTAAACAAGAGACAAAATCAAAGCAATTCTCTTTCCTAACTAGTAACAGCACAGAGAATGCAGTCTTTTCCATATCACAGTTGAAGTACAGTGAACAAAACAGCTCAACAAATCTTAAGACAAAAAAAGTGCAGGTTATTAATGTTTACATGCAGTTGATAAGCATTCCAAATGTCACATTATGCACTGTAGAAGCTCAACTTTACTATATGGAAATAAGAAAAATGCACCTTGGGGAAAGGGGAAAAGCAATTTAATCATTTCCAGTGATTTTGTAAGTAAAGAAACTCCTAACTATTGTACGGTCACCTCATATTTAACATTGTATGAATATTAAAAGCAAACAATTTAATGGGAAAATGCACAGTACAATGGAAATAGCTTGTTATTCAACACATACAGTAGATCTAAAAAACAAAGACAACACACTCAACCAGGGAGCTTAAAAATATCAAATCAAACCCAAAGAACCAGCAGAAAAAAAATCCTTCGAAAAGACAACTGTTTCACCTTCCTAGGCCAATGCTTTACAATATGAGAAGCACTGACACCTTCTAGCTCCTACAGGTGATGTCTCCTACATACAGCAGTTAGATCTATATGTCTGGATTTGCCAAGAAACAATTCCATCCCCAGAACTCTCTCTGCAGACAAGATCTTTTTTTTTTAACCAAAATACTTTCTACAGAATTCCAAACCAAAATGTACTGTTTAAGGCATCTTTTTTTATAACATTTTCTCTTCACTCAAAGATGATAGTCATGCAGCAGTTTAATGATAAAAATATATTAATATTTTACTATACAGCAGCAAGAAGTTAGTTGTCAATTAAAAGCACACAAACATCTTTAAATGAAAACCTGTAAAAGACTATCGTTACAAACAATTTCAGTTTGGAGGACACCAGCTTGGTAAAGTGCTCTCCTAAGCTTTCATACCCATTTTCATACCCTAACACCTTGAATATATGAATTATAGAACATACTTTTGATAGAAGGCTTGTACACTTGGGGAACACAAATACACTTAGCATATAATGTAGCCAGTAATAACTAGCACCACAGCTACATGGAAATCCTTTACATACACCAACTTAACTTGACTTTCTCTTTTAAAATGAAACTCAGAATCCATGGCTCAGTAGGATAACTGTAATTGTGTTGCTCTGCTTTTAACAGGTCTACATAAGTTAATAGCACTGGCAAAAACCAAAGGATAGCTTCGGACCTCTTACAAGTTTAGGAGACAGTGCTAGTGACCACAAATAGACTCACTACCTGATGTCCAAGTACAGGTTCACTGGAAATTGCTGCACGTTAGTTAAGTTTTTAAAATCCTTCTACACATAATAAAAAAAATATATTATGAACGATACAAGTACATCTCATATACACAATAATGACAAAACGCCTACTCGGTCAAAGCAAACAGATGCAGAAAAATATTATGGGAGATTTCCTTTTTCTCTCTTTCTTTTTCCTTTTGCTATTTGAATAACTTTGGTTCCAACCGTAAAAATCACAACTTAGCAAATTTCATTTAAATGCCTTTTTTAATAATTTCTTCATGTTCACAGAAGTTTCACTGACCATTTTTATATGTTTAAGGTCCAGATGCAATGCATATTGTATAAAAGAGAGCACTTATTGTTTACCTTGCATGAATTAAACCTACGTACCTTTAACTCTACAAACTTCTGCATAACATTTAGACAAAGCTCAGACACACAGCATGCCTAGCCCTCATATATATACACATCTCTAATCACAGGTATATAGGGTGTCAAATATACTATAATAACCTCCATGTAAGGTTTGAAATTTGGTAACAAAATGAGAAAAACTAAAAATATTATTTTACGTGTTCTAAAATATCTCTTTTTTTGTGCTAAAGTCAAATGTTAGCTCAACATGAAAAGGACTTTTATATAATTCAGCAATATTATAATCTTGACCATTTTGCAAACACTTTTAATAATAATAGCTTAAACGTGTACAAAAGTTCTTGGTTAATTAGGGAAATAAACACTCAGTTCTTTATATTTTTTAATCAAGTAGGAAACACAGTTCATATAATGTTATTACTTTTTCTATTTTTTGTTTTTTGTTTTAGCAGCTGCTTACTGTTTTATATGGTGGATAAAGTGGACAACATCCAGCGATGGGTGGCAAGTCAAGAAGAGAAACTGTCAGTTGGTGGAGGTTCTGTGGGTGGTGCTCCCTTGGAGTTAAGTTTTTTTTTTTTTTTACTTTTTTACTTTTTATTTTCTCTCTTTCTTTACAGTATATTTTCTGTGTGTGTGGCTGTGTGTGTATGCATGTGTGTGGGTTTTTTTTTTCCATTAAGTCTGATCAATCTTCTTCCCCTTCTTCCTCACCCTGCAGTAACAGGGTGGCAGCGGCGGTCTCCTCCTGTTGTTGCTGCTGCTGCTGGTGGAGTTGCTCACAGGCAGCTCGCTTTTCCCTCTGCTTCTCTTGAATCTTCTTCATCTCCTCCGAGTATTTGCAGAAGGTGTGTCCGAACTTGGCCCACACCTTGTAGGGCACGGTGATGGAGTTGCGGTAGGTGGGCTTCACCTCGCTCACTCGCATAAACACACCGTACTTGTTGGAGCCCACATCGAAGAAGAAGCGCTTGTTGTCCACAGTCAAGGAGGTGCCCTCGGGCAGCTCGGCCGGCTCCTCCTCCACTCCGTAGTCGTCGATGAGCTTGGCCAGAGCGTCACGGAACTCGATGAGCCCCTGTGCGGGCAGCGCAATGGTCTGGCCCTGCGTGGAGCCCAGGCCGGGCCCCCGATTGACCGTCTGGCGGATGCGCAGGAAGCGGCCGCGCTGGTTCTCCTTGAGATCCATGTAGTACTTGCGGTTCTCGCGCACCAGGAACTCACTCTTGAGCGCCCGGCGCGGCTCGTCCTGCGCCTGGGCCAGGTCGGGTGGCTGGCTGGGGCCCAGCTGTGCGTAGTGCTCGATGAAGTCGCCCAGGTAGTCGCGGAACTCCACGGCCACTGACATGGAGAGAGTGAGGCGGCTCTTGTTGCCGCCCGCGCCCACCTCAGCAATCTTCAGGAAGCGGCCCTTGGCGTTTTGCTTTACGTCCAGGTAGAAGCGCTTGTTCTGGATGTCCACCCGCTTGGAGGCCAGCTCCTGCGTCTCATGCTGCAGCCCCCCCGGGGCCCCGCCGCCGCCGCCACTGCCGCCGCCGCCCCCGCCGCCACCACCGCCCCCGCCGGAGCCCGAGCCTGAGCCCGGGTGCCCCAGGGAGCCGCCCGAGCCCAGCGCCGCACCACCCTGCTCGCTGCCGCTGTCTCGGTCCGCCATGATGCTGCGCTCCGCCGCCTCGCCGCCTCGCCGCCGCCTGCCGCTCCGCCCGCCGCCGCCTCAGTCGCCTCAGCCGCCGCTGCTTTCCCTCCCCGGCTCCGCCTGCTGCCGCCGCAACCCCCACAGCCAGTCAGCCACTCTCGCGAGATCTGCGGGAGAGACGAGACAGACGAGACCCGGTAACAGGGCACTGACTCCCCAGTACAGTAGCAGGGCGCCCTACTGTACGCGCCCACCCGCTCGCCCGGCACGTGACCTGCGCCCCCTCCCCACTGCCAGCCCCGTCCGCCCTCCCGCCAGGCGGCGCCCACCCGCCAGCCCTCACCCCACACCCCTGGCTGGGGGGGGGGGGGGAGCAGGACGCGCCGCGTCGCAGCTGCCGCCACCACCACTGTGGCTGTCGCTGTTGGCCAGACCCTGGGCGGCCTTGGCCGGGGGAGTTGGGGGACTAAGGGTGAGAAGAGGGCTGCCATACTAAGCACAGGGAGCGGGCCTGAGCTCTGCTTTCCAGTGACCCCAAAGAGAGATATGGGGACAAGGGCCTGCGCACCTCAGCTGAGCCCGCTGCAGAGAGGGACACCGAGTCACGGCCACCCCCTTCCCTGTGGGCCCCAACAAGACCCATACCCAAACCCAGATCGGCCCACACGCCGCCAGGCTATGCTGTCTCCTACCGCAGAGCCCTGGCCGCAGAGGCGGGTGAGGAAGAGGAGAGGTGGTGCGGCAGTAACCCTTAGCTGCAGAAGGGGCTGCCCGCGACGAGGTTGGGGCGCCGGCAGCAGTGGCACGGAGCAGCAGACACCTAGCCGGTCCCTCCCCTCGCTCCAGCCGCTCCCCCTCCCAACGCAGCGACTCTGGCCTCAGATGATCCCGCTCCCCCCTCCCCCCAACCGCAGCCCCGCACAGTCGGGCGGGCGCACTCGCTGGCTGGGGGTGGGGGGGGGGAGCTGAGCAGAGGACGGCAAGCAGCCGCACCAGGGCCAGGGTGCCCGCAATGCCTGTTCCCTTGGGCTCTGCCCTCCCCCCCACCCCAAGCAACAACCAAAAAGAAACCCACACTCACCCCCAAACCTTCAACCAGCCCCCTTTGGGACCAAGATTGCCCGCCTGCCTCCCCCTCCTCCTTCCAAGATTTGGGAAGGGGGGCAATCCTGCTCGGGGCTGAGCCCAGCCTGGGTTGCCGGCCAGCTCTGCGGATGAACCAGGCCCTGCGGAGCCTTCAGCCCCCAGCCCACTCTTCCTCTTTGGAAGGACCCAGAAAGGAGGAGAAAACCAAGCAGGGTTTAGGATATTCACGCGCTAAAAATGCCAGGAATTTCCTGGGAAACGCAGTTCCTTACGGGATTCATTAACGCAGGTTCACTCATGCATTATACCCCTCCCAGAAACTCCTTACTCAAGCAGAGCCCCCACCTCTCAAAAAGTAAAGCATTAAATGATCGCTGGTTTTTAAGAAGATAGCTAGGTTACCGACCATTAGTTAACCAATGAGTCTTTAGACAGTGACACCTGAAGGGGTTGTCTCCAGTCTCAGAAATCATTGATTTTTTCTTCCTAGATTTGAGGCGTAATCTAAGGCCTATTTTCCTTCTCCCAGATACACAGCGAATGCTCATAACTACCTTACTGCAGTCTGCAGTCCTAACAGCTGTGGGAAAGCTAAGGCCCATCTCAGAGGACCCCCTGCCAATGCCTCTTCATCACCTTCTTTCCACAGGGGTCTCAGAGGATACAGACCTCAGAGCGCTATACTTGACTTTCTCAAGCAGAGAGTGCTGCCTCTATCCTGAGAAGAGTATGCCTATCCCACCTCTTGGTTCCATTCCCGTTTCACATCCTCCACCCCTCAAAGTACGGAGACTTGCCTCCTTCGCTCTTAGCCCCAGAGACAACTGAGTACATGGTTGCCCAAGCTTCCTGGAAGAGAGAGGGATAAAAAGAGGACTAATGATCAAGAAACCCAGACCAGTCCAAGGCATAAGCCTTGTCAATACCTGAGCCCTCAAAACTCCCTAATGTTTCTCTTCACTTCCTGGACAAACCTGCCTGCTACGTATTCACAGCTTTCTTTTACTCTTAGCAAGGGTCCATTCTAACCAGCATTAGCTGCTTCAGCTTTGAGCTGACGTTTAGGACTCCCGTTAAAGAGCAAGAAACAAGGCAAAGCAACCTGGCTATCAAAATGTAAACTGGAGTAGTCCTGTAAGCCACCTCTATTATAACCCACCTGTCCAGTGGTCATCAAAACAACTCCCTAATGGGGAGGCCCACTAAGAGATAGAAATCCAGGCATTGGGCACCATAAAGAATTTCCCCTTAGCTTGAGGGGCATTCTCGAGTGCCATGTAGTACCCTTTCAGTGCTGATTTTTTTTCTGCAGTCCCTCCCCTGTCGGGAAGGGGACATAGGAAATTGTTAGCGCACTGCACACTACGCAAAAATAAATAAATAAATAAATAAATAAATAAATAAATAAAAATACACGTGTGAAAAAGCAGAGGCTCCTTCAGGCTCCCACAGTAGCGATCAGGACCCTGGATAGACCCCGGCCCCAAACAGAGACGCAAAGGCTGAGTGGCAGGGTCTCCGCACAGAATCCTGCAGGGCATTACGGTTCCACTTACAGGCTGAAGCTAAGATTTGATGAAGTCCGATCTAGAAGAGCCGCTGCTCTCCCTCAAGGGTTTATCTTGTGCTGTATCAAGACTTTGCCCCCTCAAGAGAAGGCAAAGCAACAACAGGGCCAATGGGATTGCAAAGAGGGGGCACGCGTCTGCCGGTCTGGCCATTCTTCCATGCTAATAATGATCTCTTCCTCATGACAAACAACAAACTACGGCTTTAAACTGCCAGCCTTCTTGGACCACCTTTGGTGTCTAAATTTCTTGCCCTGTCCCAAACGATCATGTCCAGAGGTTCTGAAGTGGTTTTAGTTTGGGAATGCTCTGATTTTCTGATAAAGTGTCCCCAGGAACCGAGTTCTTAGTTGCCCAGTACAGAGGCAAATGATGAAGTTTCTAGACAAAACACAGGTTAAATATCATTTCCTCACTTAAACTGGGAATTTTACGCTCAAACCAAACAACTGAGACCTGGATCTCTCCACAAAAAATACATACTAACTTATTTAATGATATTTATCATATATGTAAAAAAATTTCTGCTATTATAAACTAGACTCTTAGTTACTTTTTAAATGTATCTAACAAGCAAACAAGAAAATAATGTCTTTTCCAAACTAATTCAATTATAAATTGGATATTTAGTATATTTTTCACTACCCAAATAAGAGTTAATTTCAGGATAAGCCAGTAAATCTGGGCTTTTAGTCAGATTGGGAGGGAAGTGGTGAAAGGTAGCTTTCCTTAGGCTACAGAATAGAGTAGCCTTAAAAAAGGCAGCCTGAGAAGAATGGATATTGTTTCAGAGAAAGTCTTAAAACAAAATGTTTAGAACCTTAAATATAATTTCAAAGTTAGATTTGCATCGTAATATTGAAAATCCATTAGAAAATTTGTGGATTTAAATTATGCCTAACCATTTGTTAACTACCTAAACAATATATCACCTTGGTAAATGAAAAGCCAGTTTTAGTGTCTAGCTGTTTGAATACGTAATTTAAAAACAAATAGTTGTAAAATTAAATTTATAATTTCAGTACAATGTAAGAAGGACAAAGGGAAAACGAAATATATTAATATGCAGCAAAATACCCATGTTGATGAAAAAATAATAAAATATTCCCTTTCTCAAAGTTTGCTTACATTTTTAAAAAATGATGTCTCTAGATTTCTTGTGCTTTTATTAATACTACACACATATTTTGAAAAGAATAGATTGCTTTATTTTTAATCCTATTATCTTTATGTCTTTAATAAACTCTTACCAACAAAAAATTGACTGCAAATGAAACAGACATTAGGTAGACAAGAAGGAAAAAGCCTCAATTTTCCTCAGCCTGAGCTACGGGTTCTGAAATAACCTAATTCAGCTTTGGTTTTAAAAGCAAAAATTAACACACATTTATAAAATAAACTTGGAAAGTAGGAATCAACTTCTGGGTAATAAACTCTTTTTGAATATACAGTTTCTAATAGAAACAATATGCTGATTAATATTTCACAGAATCACAGATTTCCAAAATAAAAAGAACAAGAATATTAAAACTTGTGTTTAAATGCTGCTTAGGTTAAATGCTTGTTTTAAACCAGACAATTATCTTCAATATCCAAATCATTAAAACTAACTGGAATGTTTTACTGCAAGTGTTCAAAGTGGAGGAATTACCCACTTCTCATTGCTATCTACCAGAAAAATTAAGGGAAACCCTCAAGTAGATGTGAACGTTTAACGACAACAACAAAGACTAATGGTAATAGTATTTCACCAATCATTTTTTAAAATGCGTATCCCCTTTTCTATAGCTCAACTGAACTTTAAAATTCTGTCTCTTCAATGCTATTTTAATGTTTAGGGTTAAAGATATGAATTAAACATTTAAAATGTGAAGAGAATGATCCAGGTGATACAATCCTCGCACTTCACAAAATGTTTCCATTTTAAGCATTTCCAGAAGAGTTAAATAAACGTACCACATATTCTAAATTCTATAAATTTTTTCAGAAAACCCGACATTTTTTGTAGCCAAAAGGTCCAAACAGAAGCGATGCAAATGTCAATAGCTCCCTCTCTTCCGGCTGATACTTAAATGGTTTTACTAGTACCCGAAGGAATGAAATCAGCAACTCTCCACACACTAGCCAACATTCCAATTTGCAAAGCCGCAATTCGCAAACGTCAGTTTGGGAAGGGAACATGGGGGGGGGGGTCTTAAAATAATAAAAAAAATTCCTTTTCTTTCAGTCTACCAAAAGATGTCAAACCAAATTCTGCCTATTGTAATACACTGAGACCTCCCTTCCAAGGACACTGGACACAAACATAGACACCGATGCAAAAAGCTGCCCCAAAGCGCCTACCTAATCCGACAGAAACGTAAGGCGTGCAGATAAGAACGAATTAGAACCCTCAAGAGGGTCCGCAGAGACAGCGAAAAGAAGGTGGCATTTATTTGGGGGTAGACAACAACGAATCAAAGAAAGTTGCACCAGTTGGACTCTCGGGCCTTTCTCTAACCAAGTTCAGGCTCAAGGCAGATACGTTTGGGGGGCGGGGGCGGGCCCTTCCCCCACAGACATCTCTGCCGCCTCTGGCACCCACTGTCGCTCAAAGGGAAGCCCCTCCAGCTCTACAACCGTTCCTTTTGGTCCCGGACTAGGGCAGAGGAGGCTGTTGAGCTGGCCCAGCTCTGTGGGGCAGCAAATATGCCTTGCCCGGGCCACCCATCCTCGGGCCTGGCTTCATCTGCGATGTCAGCATCAATGTATTATTTTTTATTTTTACAACGCATCCTGGGCGGGTGTATATATTGCGGGGGGGAGGGGAGGTTGAACACAGGAGAGGAGGGGTTGCTAGTGGAGCTTAGAACCCTCCTTCTTCTCCCCTCCTGCCAGGTTTGCTGTGCAGGGAGTGTCGGCCACGCTTGGCGCACTATCCCAGGCCCCGGGCGAAGGTGGCCAGGAAAAATGGGGCTTAGGGATTGCTAAGCAAACGGCACCATTGGTGGTCTCCAACGCCTGCGGAGGTAGGATTGTCTTCTTTCTTTTAAGGGGCGTGTGATTTTGTTCTTTTTTGGAGGTGGGAGGGAGGGAGTTCGTTCGTGCGCTACGGTGTTGGGGGGGGGCGCTGCTGCACTGCCAGGGTCCCCGGAGAGAAGGTGCGGGGATATCTACAATGGTACAGTAATTACTCCTGGGGCATAAGAGGGCGACTAGAGGACAGGGTGGGCAGCACCTCGAGCTGTGGTAGTGGCAACAGGAAAGGTCGCGAGGGGCTTACCCGGGCGGGCGGGCGCTGTCCTGCCGCAGGTGAGGGAGGGCGCGCGCTAGGCAGGCGCGAGGAAGGGGGGGACAGAGGAGGAGGAGGAGGAGGAGAAGGAGGGCGCGCGCGCGCGCGCGCGCACACACACACACCTGTCCTGGACAGCGGCGCGAGCCGAGCTGCGCCTCACTCGAGCTCTGCTAGCCGAGGAGGGAGGAGGGCGGGCCGGCAGGCGGGGGCGGGACGCCGAGGGGAGGAGGAGGAGGCGGCTCGGATGGCTGGTTCGGCTCGCGCTCGTTCTCCCTCCCGCGGGCAAGCCACGCTCACACCCTGCTTCTGCCGCTCACTCACAGCCCCCTTTGCTCTCCCTCCTCCTCCTCCTTCCCCTGCGGGATCCGCTCGCCGCCGCCGCCGCCGCAGACGGCAAGTCGTGGCAGCCAGACGTCGGCGCGTAACCCGGCGCTCCGTGCGTGACTCCGAGCGACGTCAGCGCGCGCTCCGCTCTGCCCACCATCCCCCCACCCCCCCCAACCCGCTTTCCGTGGCTCGCGCCCTCCGCCCTCGCGTCCCTCGGTTTTAGTTCCCGCGGCGGCCGCCGAGCACGCTCCCTCCGCCCCCATACGCGCGCGCGCTCTCGCCGCCGTTGGCTCGTCAACAGCGGCGCAGGCCTCGAGGCGCGTCTGAGCAGGGGGCTGGTCGGGCCTCTTTGCCCGCACGCCTTCCACCCGTCCCGGGTAGCGGACCCTGGAGGACAAATCCCTTCCTGGGCTTTGAAGGCCGAGGCCAAGCTCAGTCAGTAGTACAGCCCTGTAGGGCCTGCGTCAGTTCCAGCTCTGGGCCCTCGGCGTCGTAGTTGGTGCCGCTACCACTGCGTCACCTCCCCCCCCCCACGCCCCTCTCTGGCCCTTGTTCCGCCCCCCTCTCTCTGGAGGCAGAGGGCCTTTTAGCTCCTGAGAAGGTCTCACCTTGGCCTTCAGACTCCTGCCGCGAGGGGCTAGTAAAGCAAAATTAGCATAAAGAAGAAAGTGGCTAAACCACATTCAGGCTCTTGCCTCAGGAATCCTTGACAGGAAGCGTGGGGTTGCTGCCCAGCCTCCCACGCAGAGTAGGTGAAACTGGGCCCCTTTGAGGGAGTGTGACTAAGGGCAAAACTCTGATAAATATTATTTATGCGTCCTTGGGCTGAGAGAGAGAAAGTAAAAGAGGCGACTTAATTTTCATAAATTATTATGCGAAATGCAGAACTATAAAATGTCCTTTAAGACAAGGTTTTTGATACGTGGCAACTTTTTCCCTCGCTTTGTACGTTGTCACATTTCCATTCTGCAGCACTGAGTACATAGAGGTGGGACAGTTAAAAATGATCGACTGCAAATTAAATAGAATCTCAGAGAAGTCAATCTGAGATTTAAGAAAACTTAGTCACTGTCCTTATTTAATTTAGTACATTTTAAGTTACTTTGCAATACACCATAAGATACACTATTAGGCAATAGTAGACTTTTAAACTCACTTATGATAGGACCTTTTCCAAAAAGCTTATCTAGTTAACCTGTGAGGTAAGTAGGAATAAAGTGACATTAACCCCATTTTATAGATGAAGAAATTGAGTTACAAAAATAGAAGTTAGTTCCGTTGCAAGGAGTCTGTCATTGGTAGAGGGAAACACCCTAGGTCTACTATCACCTACTTTATCCACTAAACCAGAAATCCCTCAAATATTTACTTCCAGGTGTCTATTGATGCCCACCCCCCTTCATCGTAGGCAGTGCCAAATGTCCGAGAAAAAAATGGGAGATATTCCTGGCTTTAGATATCATAGAGTACTTTAAAAGGTTTGAAATTTTCTACCATTGAAAATTGCAGCTCAGCACTACAATCCAAACAATTGAATTGCGAAACAATTCAATTTCCATACTAACATTTTTTTTTATTAATCCCTAGTTAGAGGTGAGAAAATGTTTGGCACAGGTTTAAGAATGGGTTATTTCCTTTGAATTGCTTCTTTATTCACCTCATCTTTAGGTGGCAGCACTACTATATAAATATCTTTTAAACTACAGTCTTGTACAACTTGATATCCTAAAGAATGTTTTGTCCTAAATGCTTCCAACTATATTGTGGAGATTAGAATCCAGTGAAAACAGGAAATCATAGCTGAGAATTGGAATACTTAGGAGGTTCTAGAACAGGAAAAATAGAAAAGCTTTCAGAGTAATTATTAAAATGTGTGGATGTATTAAGGAAAAAGTAGAAAGTTTCCCAAAACCCCCTTTTTAAGCTATATGAGAAGCAAGCATTTTTTTTACTGTAATCCTAATCTCTTATTGAAACAGCACAAGATGTCCTTCCAAAGCAAGTCATAGTTTCTCAATACTGCATGCTTATCAAGCATTTACAACTTTAAAGTTGCTAGTTGTATAGTTGCTCATATTCTAACTACAATTTTAAAATTTAGGTGCACTTTTCCTCATTAAATTGCATAAAGCTTATGAAGATCCCAAATAGGACCTTATTGTTGAACCTTGTGGAAGAGAGCTCTTCCTGGCTTCTTTTCTCGCTTCCTAAATTGTTCACATGCAAAGTAAAGGATCACTGAAACTCAGAGCAGTGAGAAGACAAGCTAAACCAAATGTAAAATAATAGCAATTTACAGATATTTGATATCTTAATTTCTCTCATATTTTGAGGATAATAAATTGTGATATATGGGTGTTATTTGGAGCAAATGCTTTCTAACTAGAACTTTGTCATAATTAATTTAGTTCTCCTGTACCCCTTTACTGAAGCAACCAAACAAAATTGAATTTACATGCATTACAAAATAGACTGCATTAGATTCACAGCATAAACATAACCATCAAGGAATATAGAGGTATGACCATCAGGAGTGGGAAATCAAATTATTTCTGGATAAGAGGATAAGTCTTAATAAAGTCTTTCTTGATGGCAGCTTTCATCTTTCACAAGTCATATTTGGGGAAGAAGTCTCAAGCAAATTGGTAGAATTCAAGCTCAGCAGTATTATGTTAAGATTTTTTAAGCTCTCTGGTGCCAGCAAACCATGCAGCCCGGGGGCCTTGGCTCCAAACTTCTGCCAACTCCATTTTGGCAATAGTGTTCTGTTGAACAAAGTTTGCACGTGTTTGGGGTGTGAAGTGGTTCCTCAGGCATTTATCTGGTTTTATTCCAGTTTGGGGACTTGAGGACGAGGGTCAGAAGCATGAGACTTGTATAGTTCATATGTACCCTGACACAGACTATGCTAGTGATCTTGAATTTTCACTTAAAGGGCAGCTTTTTCTTTGTTGGTGTAGAAGTTACTGAAGTGGACCCTTTGGCTTACAACTTAAATGCTAACATTATATTGAGCCAGTCTCAGGAGCAGATAAGCAGGATTCTTTCTGCTGAGGGTGTAGAGCTATGGAAATTTACTCCTCATCCTCCTGTCCACAATACCACCTACACATATTTATTCCGATGAGACTCACTAAATAATATGCAATTTGAGAACAAAGGGGCCAGTAATTATTAAAACTTCATCTCATTGTTAGATTATAACTATGAGCCTATGATCTTTCTTGGTATGAGTTGTCTGGCTTCATTTCCTTTAACCACATCCTCCCATCCTAAAGTCATTGGTTAAGAAACAACACCTGGCCCAGATGTGTGTGCACTAACTTGTCTTATTTCAGGGGTCCCTCTTCCTGAGGGAAACATAATATGGTCTCAATTTCCATTATTTTTTCAAGTAATTCTAATGGAAAATCCCTGCATAATTTTGGGGTAACACAGTTTGAAAGACATTACAGTGATGTTAGAACATTCTATTATTTTTGTTTTGGGGGTTCCCCCCGTTTAAGAGCAATGAAAAGAAAAAAGTGCATAGTAAAAGTAACAGTTGTTGAAATAATTATCTTACCTCTAACCATGATCAAAGGAATGACAATTTTTAGGATACAAATATAGTAATTTGAACATGGTAGTTATTCTTGATACTCTTTTTAAAGTATATTTTATTGATTATGCTATTACAGTTGTCCCTTTTTTTTCTCCCCTTTATTCCCCTTCACTCTGCACCGCCACTCCCTCCAGCATTCCACCCCCCTTAGTTCATGTCCATGGCTCGTACACATAAGTTCTTGGGCTTCTCCATCTCCTATACTATTCTTAACCTCCTCTGTCTCTTTTGTACTGACCAATTGTGCCTCTTATTCCCTGTACCTTTTTCCCCATTTTCCTCCCTCCCCCTCCCCACTGATAACTCACCATGTGATCTTCGTTTCTATGGTTCTATTCCTGCTCTAGTTGTTTGTTTAGTTTTTGTTGTTTCTGTTTTTTTAGGTTCAGTTGTTGATAGTTGTGAGCTTGTTGTTATTTTACTGTTCATAGTTTTGATCTTCTTTTTCTTAGATAAGTCCTTTTAACATTTCATATAGTAAGGGCTTGGGGATAATGAACTCCTTTAACTTTCCCTTATCTGGGAAGCACTTTATCTACTCTTCCATTCTAAGTGATAGCTTTGCTGAATAGAGTATTCTTGGATGTAGGTCCTTGGCTTTCATGACTTTGAATACTTCTTTCCAGCCCCTTCTTACCTGCAAGATTTCTTTTGAGAAATCAGCTGATAGTCTTAGGGGAACTCCTTTGTAGGTGACTATCTCCTTTTCTCTTGCTGCTGTTAAGATTCTCTCCTTATCTTTAATCTTGCGTAATGTAATTACGATGTGTCTTGGTCTGTGCTTCCTTGGGCCTAGCTTCTTT